GTTCAATTTGCCGCTTTTTGATTTTAATATAAAAAGAAATATTTTCTGCAAGGAAAGACTCAGCTTTCATCACCAGAACCCTAGTACAGACTTTGCAGGCTAAACCAATTCACAAATAAGCACTTTTCATAAACATTACATATTTCTTGGCTTACACAGGTTCTGGAGAATGAAAGAACAGGCTGTGCTGACATCTGGTGGCTTTCTCTGCAGAGAGTTTATGGCAATAAGTCTTGGCTTTTTGCTGCATTTTTTTTTGCAGCAAATGTAAAAAAATGATGTAACTTCTCTCGTTTCTTTCCAAGATACAAAGCATTATGATAAAAACATTTTTGTTTCCACTGACCAGTGGACAGTGCTGTCCCATACCAGTCCTCCTGTAAAGCAAGAAAGGATCCTTTGTTGTGTACTATCAGTGACAAGAGTAGAAAAGGTCTCCTCTTTATTTCAAAGCTTATTTCCTCATGAATACAAAAAAAAAAATCCTGTACATTCACTGCCACAGGAAATGCTACTATTGCATATCAGATGAGGTGCAAACCTAACAATTAAAGCACTGCAAATCAGCAGAGGTGGCAGCAAGAAGCAAAGGGAAGTGGCTGGGAAAACATGCAAAGGTGCATCTGTTTCTCTAACTCAATAGGTAAGTAGGTAGTAGGGAAAAGTCAATGTCCTGATAATATGAAAAGTAGCGAAGTTATCTACTGAGCATCGTTGCTTGACTCATTAATCACTTGCAAATCTGTGCCAAGAAGTGCTATGAAAAGGAAGTCATGGAAGGAAGATCGGGTACCAACCAGGAAGACTGAGCTCAGTCCAAACTGTTCAATAAGCAAAAGTGTACACTTCCCTTAAACATTTGTAATGCCTCCAGCCGGATGCCGTTGCCCTGAAGCCAGGATCCTATCAGTCACGTGAGACCAAGAATGAGTATCGCATGTTCTGGTTTTTCATTCTTGACCTCTGGACACTCAGGATTTCTGTGGCTATTAGCTTCCAAGGACAGGGCCCACAGATACCCTCTCATGGCTGTGGTAACTCTTGGACTGTTACTTGCAAGCTTGTTTTTAAGTAAATGATCCGTCAGGGGATGTGCTGAATACTCCCAGGGAATGAAAGAGAAACACCACAGCTTACAACATCTCTCTGGATCGCCTTTAAGACAGAATGTTTGCATCAGATAAAGCAGTTCCCCAACTTCAATGGTGGTATATTTCAGACCTTTGAGGACTCTTTTATGCCATTGGTAACTGGCAACATTTAACTCAGCTATCCATGTCAGCAGTTTTCTTAGCTCTTGCTTCTTCAAGAGGCAACATAACTACCTCTGGACAGAAAAATACACAAAAACTGTTGCATGCAGAAAGTATAACGTGACAAAACCAGAAAAAACAAGATGCCTATTCCAGCAGTTATGAGTCAATTCCAAAAAATATTAAAATGCACCATTTTCATGCCCTTAGTGCTATAAAAAACAGCTCTACTCCAGTATTTCTGTGCCAAGAGTGTTGTACATTCAAGATTTTGCCTGTTTATTCAGCTACACTGTTACCGCTTCTTCCTCTTCATGATAATTCCTTTCCTAATTTCCTCTCTTCTCCTTTAGTAGCTATTCTTCCACACCTCCTAACCAAAACTCCAGTCTCTCTGAAGTGATTTTTTTTCTCTAAGAAACACCCAAGCCCCACACACTCCCCCAGCTTCCAGTTTGACTGCCTTTCCCTACTAGAGTGCTATAACCCAGGAGAAGTTGTATCTTATTTCAGTATCCAGTCTGGATGCTGTTCTTGTTTAAAAAAAAAAAAACAAACAAACAACCTAGTGAAAGGCTCCAAGGACATTGTACTGAAAGATGAGTCCTTATTAACCCCACGACGTCTAAGAACACTCGCAAAGCTATATGACTTACCCCACTACACATTATGGAGAAGCCACCTTCGATTAACAACAATTGCAAACCGATGCAGTTCATGACCTCTGCTGCCAGGATAACAAACCATGCTACCAACTCTGTAGGTGGTTTCCTTCAATAGAAAGAGGATTTCATAACAACATGGACAAAGACATCTCAGTCTTTAGTAATTTATTAGCCAGTGTTCACAGATTTCATTCAATACTCAACAATCCTGGAATCAAACCTACTCTGACACAAAGTTATACCATATCCCATCAAAAAATGTTGGAACACCATCTATCTTAACAAGTTCTCAGCTATTATCTGTAGTTTTGTGGGGTTTATTTGAAAGAAGAATTATTGAAGGTCCAATTAAAAAAAAAAAACAAACAGAAGAAAAACACTTCAGGAAGAAACCAGTTTACAAGTATGGCCATTGAAAGCATTACAAAAGGCTCTACTGTCTGCTGCAGAAAGGAGCCAATAAAGTGCCATTGCCAGAGCTAACTGAGCTCACAAAGCAGTAGTTTAACTCCTCCCTTGGAAAGAGAAGCTAATCTGGAGAGCCAGATACATCATTCTTGAATATTTGCATTAAAACATTTACCATTTTCTCACTGATGCTGTCGAATTGCTCTTTCACTGTGCCACACTCGATGTGGCACTGAACATTTGTAACTGTCCTAGCCCAGAAAGGACAGTTGTTAAAATTTGGTGCCTCTTTCAAACACAAATGCCTTAGAGAAAAGGGATCACAAAACCCATCCAAATCTGTCTGAAAGGGCTGAAGACCAAATTCAAATCCCCAGAACAGGAAGAAAAGAGTGACAGTGTTTGCTCAGTCTGAGCACCCAAGTGTGCTGACAGACATCACCTACATGCCTTAGTAGGACAGTCTGAGACATTGATCTCTCTGGTATGCCATCTACTTCTTACAAAGTTACCTTCATTATTGTAAATTTGGCTGAACAAAGCTGGTATACTCTGGAGTGCAATGTATTAGCTTAAACCATCTGAGAAGATCAGTACAAACTCATATCAACCAGATGAATCTGCAAACATGACAGACTGTGTAAGAAGGTAGCTGAGACATGGGCCCATGTTTGCGGAGCAGGTACCAGCAACAGAAAGGCGGCCTGGACAGAAAGAGGAAGCAAGTGGTAAATTCTCCTCACAAATTCATCGGAGCATGCATAACAGCATCTAAATCCCAAGAGAACACAGATGACTTCAGTGACACAGGACTGCTTACAAGATAAAGATACAATCACCCTTTTAATCACAGATGACAAAGTAGTAGACTACTTTCACAAGAGAATAAAATTTTTTGAAACAAAGCTGTTGGTGAGTAACACCAGCTACCAAAACCAGCCTAAACCAGAGTTGTCAGGAAGGATGAAGAAAATGAGGCAGGAACAATCCATAGAGGTTCCTTTGGCCCTACATCTAAAGTAAAGAGAACTTTTATTTAGATACTCTGGAAATCACACATGTACTTTCACTATCACACATTGTCCTGGTTTCAGCTGAGATAGAGTTAACTGTCTTCCTAGTAGCTGGTACAGTGCTATGTTGATAACACTGATGTTTTCAGTTGTTGCTAAGCAGTGTTTAGACTAAAGTCAAGGATTTTTCAGCTTCTCATGCCCAGCCAGCGAGAAAGCTGGAGGGGCACAAGAAGTTGGCACAGGACACAGCCAGGGCACCTGACCCAAACTGGCCAACAGTGTATTCCATACCATGGGACGTCCCATTTAGTATAGGAACTGGGAAGTGGGGGCGGGAAATCGCCGCTCGGGGACTAGCTGAGTGTCGGTCGGCAGGCGGTGAGCAATTGCACTGCGCATCATTTGTACATTCCAATCCTTTTATTATTGCTGTTGTCATTTTATTAGTGTTATCATTATCATTATTAGTTTCTTCTTTTCTGTTCTATTAAACTGTTCTTATCTCAACCCACAGGTTTTGCTTCTTTTCCCGATCTTCTCCCCCATCCCACTGGGGGGGAGTGAGTGGCTGCATGGTGCTTAGTTGCTGGCTGGGGTTAAACCACGACACACATCAATAAATAAAAAAAATTAATCAAAGCTCTAGGAAATGGCAAGATTACTTTTCTGGAAAGTCTCTTGTGGAAATGGTGTTGTCAGCTCTCACCCAGAGGTGCGGTTAGATGTGTAGGTCTAAAGCAATTACCCATTTGATTTAGCACAGTCTATGCCCAAAAAGCCTGCTAAAGCAGAGAGCCAGCATCACTTCTATTTCAGTGAAGAGAGGCTTAAAGGCACAGTGTCCCATGTTGGTACCCCCTAAAAAGCAGTTTCATAAGCAGTATCTATCTAAAGGTACTTTATTGGATGCATAATTTTTTTTTCTTGTTCTTGATTTGGTTAATGTATTAGGAGAGCCTGGAATTATCAAGAACTAACACATAGCAACAGAGTATTTGGCTCTTGGAAAGCAGGAAAGAATCAATTCCAGTCCTGAAGACATGGGGCTCGCAGACTGGGCCTCTCCTCGCAAAAATGCAATCATTCAGGTTTTATTCTTAAAACTGAAACCATGAGCTTTCACTGCATTTGAAAAAATGCCCAATTCCTACTTAAGCACACTGATGTCCTGGCAGAACTCAGGTTGCTACCTCTTACATGAAGATGTCTCCATGAAGTAGAGCTGAAAACAGGAGAGCTGGTCCTTGAACACAAAAGCCTCCCAACAGTCATTTGTCCCTTTCAGCATGCTAAAGAGGGCTGGAACAGAGTATAAAGGAAAGCATTCACTAGTGAAAATCATGAAACACTTGCCAGTCTGCACCATTTAAACAAAAGAGACCAAACATAAAATGAAGAGAAGTAAAGCTATGACTTGAAACGGAGAGATTCTCTTCTCAAGCTCTCTAAAATACCCAGTGATTTGGCCATAAAACGTTTCCCTTTTCATCAGAAGTTAGTACTGTGATGGGATCTTACTATGCATTGTATGATCTCCGTATGTAGCTAATGTCTGCTGTCAGATCACACCAAGAACATGTGTCACAGGTCAGAGATTGCACTACCTGCATTGTAAGAGGCAAGCAAAGGAAAAAGAAATGCAAGAAAGGAAAAAGTCATTGATGTCCCCCAATTTTCCTTCTCTCAGTCTCAGCATATCGACAGAAATTAATTTCTATAGGAAGGGAATTGCACTGTTTGCAAAGCAATCCTCTAGGATTTATTGATCTTTAAGAAAAATCTCATTAAGCAGAATAAGGAAAATTTACAACAGGTATGGGAAAACAAAACAATCTCTTGGGATCTTCACCAGGCCGAAACAGGATTAGCTTTGTAGTTTCTGTAATCTTCCTCACAGAAGAATGCTAATTCGGTCTCATTTGCTAGAACGAATAAAAAATTAAATATTTAGCACACCAGTAAATGAACCACCCAACAGCCAACTATTCAGAATCTTAGAAGACAACTGGCAACTTTTTGGTCAAAGACAATTATAAATCACCATACACTTTTTTTTCCCCTCATATTTTTACAAAAAATATTCCAGTATTAAAGATGTTGTTTAAACTTGTTAAAAAAACGAACAACAACAAAACAAGAACCTGAATATATAGAAGTAAATATGTACACAAGACCCCTGAAGATTTTTTTTAACACAGGCTTCAGAATTGTTTTTATAAGCATTCAGCAAACTAAATTATTGCATTTCTAATGCCTTTAAACGCTAGAAAAAATAACAAAGAATGATTTTCTCTTTTTTTGTGCATTTTTTCTGTTAGGAAAGGGAAAAAGAAACTATTTTTTCCATTAAATTAGCCTGTAGGTATAATTATTTAATACTTAGAGGATCAGTAGAATATTTTACAGATCACTTTACATTCTCCCTCATGACCCATCAAAATATGTGTCTGAAGACGTTAATTTTTTGCCCTGCTGATGATTAATTCATGAGGCTTCAACAATATGCAAAGTGAAAGACACAAATTGGCTTCTCGAGCAATACCTTCAAATACCTCTAATTATTCACAGGGGATATGGCAGAGCTAAAGGACCCACAAAGGTTCAGAGCAGTCACAATTCTTTCAACCCAGTAGGTCAAGGACTTCCTCTTCTAAAACAATAAGTCAGCAACATTACTAATTCAGAACAGAGACAAATCTGATGGAAAGCCTTCACAATTATTAAACATGGAATTCTTTAAGGTGCTGAGCCAATAAGTTCCACATTCGTTTTTTAAATTAAACCTGAAGTTAATGAAGTCTGCCTGTCTTGTAAGAAAGAAAAAAAAGAAAAAGAGCAGAAGGGGTTTTAGAATCTCAACTAGAAAACAGACAAGACTGTTTGCAATGAATACCGAACACTTTATTAACATACACCCGCTCTTAAAAAAAACAGGCAAGCATTAACTTTGCTGACTAGATAATAGCTGTAATAATAATCACTACCACAGAGGCTTTCCCGAGGATACTTATCTAATGTCCTCATAATTTATAACTCTCTAGCCCAACCCTGTAAAGTGCCAAGGGCAATCAACTGCAGCTTAGAAAAAATGTTCTGCGTGTCTCAGAATTTCCCATATTTTCTAATGGCAATTCTCCGTTTTATTCTAATAAATCTTGTCCAGAATAGATATTGGGAAAACTTAATATGCCAATAGGAGATTTCAAATCTTCTTACTGATTTAAATGAAAACGTACAAAATGAGGACTAGTGGTATATGCTATCATACCTCACTTCCTTAGTTTACTCTTTTCCACTTCTTGTTGAAGAACAAAAGTAAAATCTTCAAGATTTTACTACAAAGACCCCACTCTTAACTTAGCTAATTTTCATATCAAGATATGCTGGAACATATCAAAATAGCATAATGGCACGCTGCATTTTACAAAGCAAGAGTTTTTCTTTTCTATCACAAATACGCACTATATAGTAATGACTAACTGATGTTAGTTATTCTGAAAAAAATAAAAAGCAGCTTTGAATTGTTTTCTGCCCTGAATAAGCCACCCCTCTCATTGTACAGAGACACAGAACAGGCTGGTCTATTCCAATTTCCTTTCACTATAACATTTACTCTGATGTTTTGACACCTTTTTCAAGATCACATCCAACTGTTTCACTGTTGTAGCTACAAACCCAGTTTCAAAGATGGATAATACATACAAATATTTATCAATACCTTTTTGAAAGAAGGCAGCTCTGGACAATGTCAGTTCTAATTCAACATTTGGCACTGTCATCAGCCCCTCTCCTGAAATTCATTGCCTCTTATGCCTTAGGTAGATAAAAATCATGCTTAAATGAATCTTCTGCTAACTAAATTACAAATCCGTAAGACTTGAGTGCCAATAATCCTCCTTCCTGAGGAACCTTTTTTTTTTTCTCCTCCAGATAAAAAGACTTGGTTTAATACAAACAGCCAGAGAATAACTATCATTCATCTTATAGAAGCACCCAAAGACCTTTAGGAAAGGTATACTGAGGCCAGTTGCAGTGCACCCCAGAGAAAAACATGAAACAGACATCCCAAGTCACTTAAAGCCAGAAAGTAAATGGCAGGAAACAAAAGAGCCAAGAAACCTATGAGAAAGAAATCCCAGTTGCTAGCTGGGGAGCAATCAGAGGGCATCAGGAACAGGAGGGAGCTTTCTCTGCGACACCCCTGCACTTAGAGCACAGGCAGTTATGCGTTCCAGCTAGGCAAATCAGATTCAAATGAGCGAATGTCCATATCAAGGTGGAATGCAACTACATCCCTTAAGTACCCTGCTGCCACAAAGTCATTCAGCCACATTTATGAGAAGCCCAAAGGACATCCAGGGACCATCAATTTTATCATGACAGACATTTCTTTACATTATTACCAAAAGACATGCCCTATATGTAGTCCCCTGTCAAAATGTGAGAAATCAGGTCAAGTTTCAACTCTCTGCTATGTTCAGCACATTCTCTAAATGATACTGCTTGAGCTTTCCTGAGCTATCTGGCTATCAGGCACTATATGCTGCACATTAAACAAATCTAATCTTATTTCATTATTCCATGCTGGTTCCACTACTTACATTTCTAACCAAAACATCAGTTTAAATGTTACTGATAAGACTAAGCAGACACGGTACTAATAACCTATCTGTCAATCATTTAAAATTACTCTCAGCAGAATTATAATATACCCTCTAAAAAACACAATTTGCATTCTGAACGTTTGGAGTGCAGATACCTGCTGCCCTCAGTCCAATGATTTGAATGTACATTATCCCCGCTTCTTCCCTGAATAATTATCAAGTAGTGTAAAGAGCATCAGGAATAGCATTTACTTTTCAGCAGGCTATCCAAACATAATCAGCCAGTTATCAGTTTAATGACAACCACAATGAACAGCACCTTCAGTCAATACAAATGCACTCCTACCTACTCCAGCTGCTTTCAGCACACTGTCTTCTTTCAAAATCAGTTTGTCATCATCTTCCAAACTCACTACAAGTTCACCAGTCTACAAATCAGAGAACCAGAATACAAAGATAAGAATAAGCATTTATGGACTGTCTCTGCCCCGGTCTTGTTTGACAGTGCAGAGTTCTGTCTGCATTAAAGCATGTAAAAGGGGAAGAATACAACTAATAATCATACCTTAGATTTGTGTGCTTGGTGAATAATCTTCATTGTATCTGAAAGAAAATACATTGTTTTCCTAAAATAAGGCTTACTAGGCAGGTAACACTGAAAGTTGTACTTGGGGAAAGAAAGACAAACAGGAGGTAAGGGTCAAAATCTTTGATTATTAACAATTTTGTGTATTCAACCTAAAAGAGGAGAAAACATCTTAATTTCCCAGTCCTGCAGCCACAGTCTTAAACTAGTAAATCCAACATTAAGGTACCATATCCTATTGGGCTTCCATCTGCTGGCTGAATTACAGTAACTAACTAATGACCATCCCAATTGCCAGTCAAAACACATAAATTTAAATGCCAGTTAGGGTGTTTTAATCTAACAGGTTTTACGCATGCAACTGGGGCAGGACAAACACCATTTATGCACTGTCAACAACTACAGTTAAGTTGATAGGCAGCAAGTGATTAAGACACAGTAACCTGACCACTTCAGATCATTGCTTGAAGTTTTCCTTCTCATGAAGAAAGCACCCACAGTAGAAATTTTGTTAAGCAAATCCATTTTCCATGAACATGTACAGCCTCTCCTCTTTTTAATGCTATACCCTCTTCAATAATATCTGCCGCTGATATGTCTGTGCAGTATAGTACTTTAAGAAATTATGCTATACCAAAAAAAAAGAAATACCACTTTCCTCTGGCAACGTGGGCAGGGCTTTGTTAACAGAAGGGAAAAACAGGGGAAAATAATGTGGTCACTAAAGAAACCAGATGAGTGCAAAGATTCAGAGGGAAAGGAAGTCAGAAGATACCCATGCAGCACTAAAAAAAAAAAAAAAAATTCAAACTTCAAAGCCTCTGTGTTTGAACAAATTCAGAGTAACACATCAATCCCTTCCCAGCTAAGAAGCAAAAACCAGTTCTGCTTGCCTGCTCATTTGCTGTTTTAGTTTGGTTTTGTGCAACTGACCACTACTTGTTGAAATAGTCTGGTAAGAAAAGGATGCAAGAAAGTTAAATATAGGTTAAAACAACTTTCAAACTACCAAAAGCAAGTATCAGATGTTCAGAATAACAGAGATCACATTCCCGTTCAGAAGTCTGCTTCCATACCACTCTGGCCCACTTTGAATATTTTATTTAAAACATTACGTAAGGTAAAAACGACTCTGTATTCCCACTGCAGAGGTCACCGATAAGGCAGCCTTAGCATGTTGTAATAATTAAAGTATTAGAAGCAAAACGCATATTAAATTGCGATCGCCATGCTCCATCCTGCATAGAAGCATTGCAAAAAGACCAAGCAATCACAGTAACAATATACTGCTATCATGAAACCTTTTTACCACAGCAAATACAATCCAGCCTCTGCCTGCTAGTTTTAAGCTTCTCCATCTACTTTGTCATATTCCCTTTTCTCTAGTCTTTGCGCAGTCACCCTCCGAACTATTGTCTCAATTTTACCTATTCACAGCTCCGCCCCTGGCATCCAGCAGTTTACCATGTCTTCATCCGAGCTATTAAATGGCTTCTCTAACTCTGTTAGAGAGATGAAACTGCAGACTCTTCTCATCCTACCTAAAGCCTTATGTCCTCTCAATAGCCTTTGCTATTTCATCCCCATTTAGTCCCACTCAATCATATACCCAAATTTTTAATCTTTCCTTTTCTGGTAATAGATCTTCTGTGACAATAGGTAAGAAATCACTTTCTAAGTCTGATTCTGTCAAGTATCTACCATATTGCTCTACATTCGGGGGCGGGGGGGAATTGAGAAGCAGCTTATAAGACAAGTTGGCACCCAGGCTGCCATCATCAGTGAAAAGATGGCAATGACAGGGTATGAAGATGAGACGATTGACTGAGAAGAGTTCTAGACCAAGGACAAGAAAGATGCATACAAAGAAATTAAGAGAAAATGGAAGTCATAAGTTTTGAGATGAGAGTTAGAGCACCAAGCCAAGTAAAAAAATGTGATGGCATTATCTATGATGTTGAGAGAACAAAGTGGCAACTGAATTCTGGAGAGAAGGAAGCTGAAACAGGCAAGGTGAGAGACAGCCAGGTCCAACTGAGATTTCTGGCACCACCAAACAAAGCAGAAGGAAAAATCTGACTCTTACTAGCACTATTCATGCAGAAGTATCACTGGCCTTTCATCACCAAAATACAAGAAAGACAGTAGAGCACACGAGAGATGCCAAAAACATGAACCTGGATGATTCACAGCCTGAGGGGAAGGTGAGGAACTTGGCTTTGATTTTTCTGTGTGAAAATTTCCACGCAGCTAGCACGATCCCACTAAAAGTACGCCCCCACTAACTGGTGTAACAGGTTTTAAAGTTCTGCAATGTTTTTCACCCACATTATGCTCAGTCCTACACAGCACAATCAGGTGCTCAGCCACAACATACAACTTGGGAAAAAATAAATTGATGCTCTAAGTGATGAAAGAACTAGCAACAGGGATAGGCAGCACCAGGAATACAACTGATAGCAGCAGTTCTAGATAGGACCTCCTCATCTAGCCAAAGCCACAGATATTAGAGAGAGGAAGGGCACCTCCAAATTCAAACTTACAGTTACCTAGATTTTAAGTAATATATTAAAAATAATAGTAACATTCAAGTCCTTGCCACTGACCTATCATAAACCTTAATCCCTAACTCTTTTTCTGCCTTCATTTTGCACTATCTGTTTCACCATCAGCAAGAACACAGAATGAAATGCTTGGCTTTTTTTTTTTTTTTTTTAAATAGGCAAATAGAGTCTATTGCCATTCACATGCATTAAGTAGGTTCCTCTTTCAATTCTTTGAACCACTGTAGAGGAAGGAGTTTGTCAACTCCAAGAACATGGGAGACAGAAGATCACCTGCAGCAAAACTCCAAGGGAACTTTCAGAATTACCAAGTTTAGGAAAAGATATGTTACTGATATCAGAGTTAGCAAACTCCAAGAAAGAAAGTAGTTTAGTCTATTTGGAAAGTGTATTCTGTCCCAAACAGATGAATTGCACATGTTCATGCCAATCTTCACAAAAAGGAAATATACACATAGCTTTACATTAAAGGATAAAGTCAGCCTAAATTTCACACCAGGCTATTTCATTCCATCAGCTTGTGTTTAAGAGCTTTCATATCTAGTTTGAGCGAAGTTTCCCTGCTTCTCTTATATCGTGTAAATTATTTAAGTATGTAAGTCTTAAGCATTTTCTGCTTCCTGCCTTCAGCTCCCACTTCACCATCCTTTCTGACTTCACAATTAGTAATTAGATACTGAAACACATAAGCACATAGAGAACTACAATTTCAAAGCATCTGAGATCACAAGCTGCTCACTAGAGTAAAAACAGAGTTAAAAGGCACTTATAAAAGTAATAAAAAATTAATAGCAAAAATCATCAGTATCAATTAGCAAATAATGTATAACATGCAGCCTAATTCAAAGATTAATACAGAACTTCAAAATAATGGTCAAATTCTGTAGACGTGATCCCAGCAGCAAAGCCCCAAAAGTTGCAAGTGTAGGCAGGCACTGCCACCAGCATGAGTATTCTACAGCAGTTATCTTTTAAATTGTATAAAAACTGGTATAAAATATTATGTCTGCATTTTACAGGAATTAAAACAAGAAAAAAAACCCAACACCTACCATACTTGTAATTTTTAAAAGGAGGGGGAAGTCCTGTTCTTGAAGACACATCTATTAAAATAAAAGCACCAAGTTAAAACAAAGGTGTCTTTTTTTTTATTTCAAATATTTTATTTTCCATTATTATGCAACGTATGCACCCTGGGCATCCTTTACATCAAAATAAATCCACAACACAGAAGACTTGTTTGAGCATAAAATAATAAAACACAATCTTTGGCTCAGATTCTATAGTTACTCTGTATCTGATTAACTTCACTTGAGCATGAAGTCCCACTGAACAAAAGGACCCATGAGGACAGTGAGTCAATGCAATTAGGATATGATCGCAGGAGTCTGATCCTTCAGAAATCTGCCAGGAACATTCTGTCAGTGGTTTGCACAGCATCTCTCTCTACCTTACACAAACAGCTGACAACTGTCATTCATAATTGAATTGTTCAGTAAACCCAGCCACGCTTCATGTTCAGTAAACCAGCCACAAAAATGAAGCCAAACTGTAGAAAATGAACTCTTTACTCCCATGCAGGGGACAGCCCATAAGCAACTGCAAGAACACTAACACTTTCCCTGGTGCCAGTGCTCCCAGTGACACCCAAGGATTTAACCAGGGCCTTGGGAAGCCCAGCCACCTGTGGGATGCTCAGCAGCAAGGAGGCTGAAACCGTAATTTCATCAGTAGTTTAACAAGTTATCTCAAACTGCCCCTTCAAACAGATTACAGTAAAAGAAGGAACATGGCTTTTGGACCAGGAACAGCACTATCCATCTGTGGAATGAGGCTCCAAAAAGTCTTGTTCAAGACACTAGCTTTGTCTCAAATAGCAGTGAGTTGCAATACTGCACACATCAAAAGCAAGTTTCTTAGCATTGTTTTTCATTTTATTCTTCATACCAGCAGCTGTACCATATGTTCTGAAAGTGCTTGTAGTTTTCTAAAGGCATCCTAAGATCTTGCCATGCCTATCAATGTCTAGAAATATGGAAGCTGCTGAAAACACAATACAGCTGTGAGGCCTAGGGCAATGTCCTAGGAGTTGCTCAAATGTTATCAGCTGTAACAGCTCAAGACTTGTTTAAGCTGACTTCATGCAAAAAAATCAAGTGATATTATTCTGCACCCTTTGAATGTCTCCATTCAGGTGTGTAGAAATACACCTGCAAGATTAGGGTAACACCCTAACTACTGAGTTGCTGCATGGGCTGGTCTACATTAAGTAACTTACAGATACACTGCCACTTTCAACCAGGCTTCTAAAACATAAAGCCCATAGATGAGTAAATCTGCACCACAAAGCTCAAGACGGAGACAGAAACTCAGCAGCAAACATGCACGGTGAGACCTCACAGTGTCAAAAACAATTTTTCAAGATCCTCTCTTCTCACAAATAGCAAACAGACTTACGTTCCCACATTCCACATATTGGTGTAGTTCCTAAGGATCAAAGGCTCTCTAAATTCTATTAATTTACTCCTGTTAATTTATGAATAGCTGCCTGACAGCACTACTCAAGGAGCCTGAGGCACTGAGCCAAATGCAGCAATGCCCTTGTCTTTTTGACTAAACATGGGGATGTGGGCAGGGGGAGTAGTCTATCCAAATTTAGGCACAGCACACTGACCACGGAAGCTCTTATTAACTCCAGACCTCTCATCCAAGGGAGGAGAGCACAGAGAAGATGCAAACACAAATCTGGCATCTCTACCAAAGCCGCAGAATTCCCATTCATTTGCTCCCTTCCACTTGCTTGTGCAGACACAGCAACACATGGGACTGAAATGAATGAATAAGACAACCATCCCTTACCCTTCCGCACAAAATTAATGAACTGCTTTACTGTCTGATCCAGGTTAACTCCATGATACACCACAGGTCTGAAGTTCCGGTGTTCAAAAGAGCGAACAAGACGGACTGTGATGGTTGAGCCTTCTGCTGACATGAGAATTAATTCTGAGTAACCTGGAAAACATTAAAGAGAGCAATTATTGCCGTTCCTCTGTGTACAAGCACAGCTAGAAAACAATGTGCAGGTGGGCCTCATTCAAAGATTAAAATATGGTGAGAAATTCAATAGCATTATGTCTTTCAGGACTTCATTTGTATTATTTCTACAGAAGCAGTAACAGTATCTCAAAACAAACAGGGCTGCCTAGGATATTAGTGATACTGCACACCAAATGGTCCAGTATTTGTACCTGTGCTGTGTACTACAGCACCAGACTCCATATTAAACACACAAAAATGTTATGAATAAATGCAAGTATGTCATTTGGGTTTCAAGTGACTGAAGAGTTTACCTGCTGGATGAATAACCTTGTGTTCTAAAAGAATGTACTAACATGAACAAAACCAAAACCTTTTTAATATACTTATGCTGTAGAGAGCATAATACCCTGAAAAATGCCTAAGCTCTTACACAACACTCATTTTCACCTCCCTACAGAAAGTGGAAAAACCTCCCCCACATACACATGCAAGTAATTCTCCTGGTATACTACTGCATAATTAAGGGGTTTAATTTAATTTATAATAGTAGGTCTCTAGAATGGCTCTACAGGGCTTATACTACTTTAACAGAGAGCAGAACCTTCAATGGAAGTGCCTTATCAACCTGAGCTCCTCTTCAAACAAGCCCATGCATTGCTCCGTTGGGTTCTTTCTCTCCACAGGAAAATGACCTCTTTCCTACATCAGCAAACTTCTCTATTTTTGGTGCTGGGTATTCCTCAACAACCTTGTCTGGTCACATGCTGAACTGCCATGGCTGCTGCAGCAATGAGCAAAGACTGCAGTCTAAGTGTTGCAACATCAGTCAGGGGCACATCATGACCTCTCTATCTCCTATCCCTTAGCAGTCATTTCAGTCACCACTTCCAGTTCTGCAAGGGATTCTCTTACCTATTTATCCCTTTATGTTCTTTTTTTCGTGTCTTTTTTTTTTCCTTTTTTGCTGGGGGGGGGAGGGAGATTATTTAAGCACCCCACTGCAACGCAGGTATCCAGGTACCTCCCAGTCTTTGCTCTATTTGTTCTAGCTGTATCCTGGCAAAGCAAACCAGCAATATTTTCTTCAAATACTTTCTGCAGAATGGGGACCCAGACCTTCCACATCACAAGGCAACTTGCTTTTACATCCCCCTGGTTAATAATTCCCAGAGCCCTAATTCCATTTTCATTGTAAATAGGCTGTGATGCACAAATAAAGGATGCCAATCAAAAAAAGCATACTCCTCTGCATCTCAAAATAACTAGTTTTATATTAAACCGTGAAGACAGATATTTTCTTGATACTATTCCACATGGGGTCAGGATCCAGAGGGCATACTGCAGAGTAAAGAAAAGGGGACAGCATTCAATTCACTTTCTCCCGAGCAGCATGTAAGAACACTGTAGGAATACAGACTTAGGAGCACAGACAATTGGAAATCGCCTATTTTCACATTTACTGTACAGACCCAACAGACCGATCCCATCTAGGGCTGGGAGCAGGTACTACCCAGCGCCACCTCAGGGACAACATGGCAGATTCTCCTCAGGGCGCTGCCCGCTTCAGAGGCGCTGATGGCCAAGATCTCTTGTGAGGAGGAACCTCCCCCGGTCCTGCCCGGTTCCCGCCCGCCGGCAGCAGCAGCACCCGGGCCTGTGGCGGAGCACTGCCCGCCCCAGCACATCTCCTTGAGACCGAGCATCCTCCCCTCAGCCCTCACACCCCCTGTCCCGCCCGAAAGCGACCGTTAACGGCCCTCCGCCTTACTACCGACTGCCCCGCCGACGCTTCCGGGTATCTCTTCTCGCCCCGCCTCACACAGCCCCACCAACCACATCCCTTCGGTGGCACCCACCGCACCGAGGGATTGGCTGCGAGGTGCACTGTCCCCGCCCCCTCCTCTCGCCTGCGGAGGCCCCGCCCCCAAAGCCCTGCAGTTGGGCAATACTCGGGCTCGCCCCTCATGCTACCGAGCGTCGCCCTCCCCCCTCGAAGCCCGCCCATCCCGCGCCGCCTCCGCATTGGCCCTTTGCCTGGCTTCTCCCCGCCCCCGGCGGGCCCCGATTGGCGCCGTGTTGCCCGTGGCGCTGGGATTGGTCAGCGAACGCTCTGGTGAGGGGTGAAGCGGCCGAGCGGCGGCGGTGGCGCGGCAGACGCCGGGAGTCGGGGTCGCGCCGGGCTCGTCGCCATGTCTGAGGTACGGGCTGTGCCGGGGAGGGGGCTGTGGGGAGCCGGCGGGTACCTCACTCTGTCCCCCCTGTTTGGCGGCGGCTTCCGTAGCCGCAGCAGCAGCAGCAGCGTGCGGGTGCTCACCGCCGCCCCGCCGCGGGGCCTTTCCCCCTCTAGGCCGCGTTCCAGAAGGCCGCCGAGGAGGTGAAGCAGCTCAAGTCCCAGCCGACGGACCAGGAGATGCTGGACGTCTACAGCCACTACAAACAGGCCACGGTGGGCGACGTGAACACGGGTGGGTACCGCCCCGGTCCCGGGGGCGGCGCGGCTGCGGCCGGAGGCCTTTTGGGAGACAAACCCTCTCCCCTGTTGCGTGCCTCGCTTCGCGCAATCCCGCGGTTTGGCAAAACATGACTCGGTACCGACTTGGCGTGGGTTCCTGTGGAGGCAAGCGTAAGCCGAGCTGATAAGGGTTTGTGCGACTTGCGGTTTTTAGATTTAACCCAGCTGCAGTCATCTGAATCATATAGCGGCGGTGTGAGAATCCTTTGCGCAAATATTGGGGTTGGGATTTTTGGAGACCTCTCTCAATAAGTAGCTGCCTAGGTCATGGGATGCTGCTTTAATACAAACGCTTCTCAGTTAAACAGGCTTAAACAGCAAGGCAAACTATGCAAGTGTGAAGTTGCAATACTTGGGGTGGGGGGCAGTTTGTTTAAGCTGGACTGGCTGCTAAAAATAGTATTGGAAAGCCAAAACGGAAGAACAAGAGAAAAGTCTTATAGGAGCTGCAATTAAATATCACATCTCAGAAGGACAGTGGCAGAAATATCTCTGCAGGCATGTTATGCAAAATCTGTCCTGCTACTTCAGCCTAGGAATAACATTTAGAATGAAGCCTGTCTCTGTTGACCTTGTGTAACGCTTGAGTAACTAGAATTAGAAAGGAAAAAGGTCATTTGTTTGGAGTGCTGGCCTCCTGACCCAGTTGCTGGTGAAGTTTATTGGGTGTTGATTGAATTAAAAGCTGGCAGTGAGGAGTGTATAGGAAATGGTAAGTATGGGTGCTTGCAGTCCAATTTTCCCAAGATGGGCAGCATGGAGGGAGAAAACAACTGACTTTGGTTTTAAGACATGATCCTTTTGGTGTGGCTGGACCCTAGTGTTATTAATGTTTGCCAAGGTGAAATGGTGCTCTAGAGCTGTTAATGTACCAACGTTTCTGTAAGTTGCTGCATTCTTGTAAAGCAATAGCCAGCATGAGTTGGCTAGGAAAGGAATCTGTGTAAGAGTAAGCTAATAGGGTTTTTGTCAGAGAGAGGTGGAGCTGCCAACTAGCTCTGCAGGTCATGTTGCCATGTGAGCAGTGCAAGGGTATTTTTGTGGCCAATGTACAGGCTACTGTCCAGTTCTATTTGTTAATCCTAAGCATTTCCTTTAAGGAGACAGAGGGGACTTTAGGTGAAGAATAAGCATGTACACATCCATATCTCATTCATCTCTTCACTATTTGGCCACAGTGTAGCCTGCAATGAAGTGAATTAGAATTCAGAGCTTATACCCCTAGATGACAGAACAAATGAAGAGCTATATGTTAGAAACCTATGATTAACTTGAGGATAATGAGTTCCAAGCTGCATGCTACTAGCTTTTGTTTTCACGTGTCTCTGTGTAATGGACCTTAGGGCATTTCTGCTTTACTTTAGCACTGATGTTCTTTCATCAGATAGCTGTCATGCAACAGCAGTCTCTTCAGGAAGTACAATAAAACCACATCACACTACTTGGTGCTCTTTTGCTCAAATGCCGCTGTCTTAAGGGAACTTGACAGAGAATAGCTCTGTTGCCACCAATAGCATTCCAGGATGCTCCTTTGAGGTGATCTCCTGACTACAGGTTAGTAAGTAATAGCTGCAGAGATGAACCATTGTTTCTTATCGTAATTAAGAGATAAATAGCCTTCAGGAAAGGAGTAGGTATTACCTACACACAGACCACACAAGCTAATTCTGCTGCTTATCTTGTCTCTGTCAGACCGCCCTGGTATGCTGGACTTCAAAGGCAAAGCAAAGTGGGATGCCTGGAATGCATTGAAAGGTAAGTATCTGCTTAAAAAATAAAAATTAATAAATAAAACCACAGGCAAACTAGTCAGAAAAGCATATGTGGTTCAGCAAGAAATAAAATAATGTTGCCTGACGAGTTCTAGAAGGTCAGAATGCTGTGATGATAAACTTACTTTTGATTACCTCTGCAAGGCAGAAGTAGTCCTGAAAAATGTAGCCTGTGTGAAAGGGAATTAAGGTGCATAATGCCCAGCTGGCTGAAGATGTTACACAAAAGAGAACTGTAGCAGCAGCAGAACCCTAAATCTCTGTTTTCCAGCTCCCAGCCTAGTACCCCAGAGACTGAGCTCTCCTCCCAGTTGTTGTGTTTATTCTAAAGCTTTCCTAAAACTGGGCGCTCTGCACTAAATGATGAGCCAAACAAGCGGTCTAATCTATGAAAATGGGATTTTTCTGGTGTTTTAAGAAGCCAACACTACATCTAAATGCAGTCTAAGTTGATTGAATAAATTTCCTGTAATAATTGTGAATGGCGTTAATAGAACTAATACACACTGTTTAGTTGCTGTCTGTACAAATGTAACTTTGCTTCAAAGCACTGCTTTCTTATGACTGCTGAACACATTTGTTTAAAACTTTAATACTAGATTCACAGCCAAGTGACCTTCTTATCTTTTCTGCTCTCTGGTGGCATGCTGCTACATGCTATAGCAAGGAACTGTGAATTGCATGTAAAAGGTGTCTTAATCTGTATCTGACTGATCCCTGTGTTCTGTCCTTCAGGAATGTCCAAAGAAGATGCAATGAAAGCTTACGTAGCAAAAGTGGAAGAACTAAAGGGCAAATACGGCATCTGAAGACTGAATATAGCAGCCACTTGCACACCTGAAACATGCCTTATTTCTAATACTGTGGAAAACCGGTTTCTGAGAATAACTTTAATACCTACTATGTTATAGTCGGTTCTCCTCATGCCTGTTGTAGTTCAGGGCAAGTTGCATACCTGCCTAATGTACTGACACATTATAAATTCCTTCTGGGAACAAAATCTGGAACTCATTAAAGTGCATTTGGTACTTTAGCTGTTGTGATGGTCATCCCTTAGAGATTGTTCTTGAGCTCATCCTTTAATTGCTGTGGTGCAGGTGTCAAACACCTCTTTGTAAGAGGCACAAGCCAACCTCTCCAGTCGTTGTGCCACTAGAGGGGGCTCAGTAATCTGTGTTTTGTGACATGCGGACTTGCATCCAAACCGATCCGGTGATGTCTGATAGTGCTTTGCCTCCTTTCTCATGTAGATGAGTGGCAACCCACAAAAACTGGAGCACTACAAAGATTATCGTGAAGAGGCTAGGTCTCATGCTGTGTATACTAAGAACAAGGTGCTTGATATTTGTTGCCTGGGGTTCTCAGAGACTTAGTCAACAATTGCCAAATCATCTTCCTTGGAGATGTTATTCCCCAACAACAACATTAGGCTTCTGGGGAGAAGGCAAATACTCAGCAGCTGAACGCAAAGCCTTCCCTGTGAAAGAAAAGGTTCCGAAGGCAGCAGAGTTGTTGATGCCCTTGGCACTGTGTACTGCTGTAAATACTGAGTACTGGTGTTGCCGTGTACTGAGTCTACAGTGAGGAGTGAATCAAGTATAGGCTGGCTTAACACTGACAAGGCTGTTCAAACGGGGAGACTCAGCAAAAGGTTTATTACAAAACCCTCAGTTGTGGCCATCTCTAATAGGCTTTTTTACCTGTTTTGGTCAGCCTCATATCATCTGTTGGAGCTGTTGATGCTGGAAAAGGAGACTTTGCTTTTAAAATGTGACATTGAACTATTACAGCAGAGTGCATATGGGAATGAAGTCCCAACCTTATATGGGAATAAGGCATTCTAATTCCCACTGTACTAGTTAGCACCTGAACAGGTGAGGACTTCAAATCTAATGGTCTTCAAATAAGCAATTGATTTATAGAAATGTATAAGGATGAAACCTATTGTTACATATCTGTCTGGGTAAGTACCTAGTTCTGTACTAAGTTACACAGGTTTTGCTGTGTGTATTATCTAACTTGTATTTTCTTATGCTACTGATAAGATATGGAGATAACTTTACCTCATATGCTTTCAAAAATTATAACTTCCCCCTTTGCTACTTTTAATGGGAAGTGCTCTTGGAGCTTCTTGTTCACCCTTTAAAATGTGTTAGGATAAAGAAGGGTTTGTTCCCTTTTCTCATAAGGAAGAAGGTTGTTTATTCTTGTTCTTCTGGGTAAGTAATATAAACATTTGGGGTTTTTTACCTCCTCTTGTATCCTCTGTTAGTTATCTGAGATTGTGTTAATTACATTCACCTTGCGAAAGAGGAGCAAGAGCAGATGTTCAGCATAAGAGATGTTTTTAGCTCTTTGCCAGCCCTAAATTCCGCAGCCAGCTCCATCTTCACAGCTGTATTTTGTGAAGCTGGTTATCCTTGGAGGATTCTGCCAACCGGTAGCAGAAAGTAGTTAATACTGGCAAATGCTTCCACTTCCTCTCTTGTTTGCTGGAAGCTGATGTGCTGTGAGCATGCTGTGCTTTGCTAACATGCGTTCTGTCAAAACAGGTGTTTTCAGAAAGCAGTGGAATTGGATTCTGTCTAAAGAGTGGGCTGGGAGTAGCAAGTTCTATATCCTAGTCCTCATTCAGCTTTATTTCCCCTGTGAGACTTAACTAATTGTTACAGTGCTGCTCTCCTTTTTCATGCCTGTCTGGCATTAGGAAGACATTGCTGTGTACACAGTGCTTATCCCAGAGAGGACTTGGTCTTGGCCAGGCTTTTATACGTTGCCTTGTACTTGCAAATAATCCTATTTGCCAGTTTATACAAGTGACTGAGAACTCTACCTTGGATGTCATTATTTGTGTACTCTTTATTTTTACCATAGTAACACCACCTTCCTGCTTGCAGCTTTGCCTTCCTTAGGAAAGTAACATCAGCGGTCTTACTATTTAGCTTGCCCTTTGGCAATGAGTCTACCCTTTGGCAATCAACTGCGCATCTCAGGAGTGAGCTGAAAAATTCAAGTTGTGGAAGTAAGAGCTCTGCAGTAAGAGACTACGAAAGGCACTAAGGCAGAAACAAAGGTACTGATGTTTGTGTACAGTGTTTGTGGTGAGAAGTAGCAACACAGAAGTTGGCTGCACAGCCATTAACTGTGGGTACTACCACTGCCAGGGGAGTGTTGAAAAACACTGAACTGAGTTGAGGAGCTGGTTGTTTAGCAGCAGGATGAATGTCTGTAAATCCATGGGAAGTTGGGCTGTCTGAAAATGTTGCTGACTTAATGACCACATTGTGCTTGCTGGTATGGAGTACGAGACTCCTGGGTTGCATAAATAACGTTTTGGCAGTGGTGATGCTAGGGCAATGGTGGTTTAAGGACATCTACAAACAGATTTGTAGGTAGAGGTAATTGCTTTTATTAAACTAATAAAGTGGTAAAAATAGACAGCCATTCAGGTATACAGCCTTGAGATTTGAAACAGAAGCAGCAAGCCTCAAACCAAAATACAACTTCAGAACCACTGCTCTGTCTGTAACAAGGTACTCTTGATGGAGGAACAGATGCTTCTGATGGCTGGGCAGTGCTGCAAAACAGGGGATTGTTCTGACACCCATTCAGGGAGTAGCTGCTGTTTCCTCTGTTAGATCAAAGAAAGGCCAGCAACATCCTGATCCTTGCAGTGCTTGTGAAGGGGAAAAGACGTGCGCTGAAACAAGCCCAGCACACAGGAGGTCAGAGGCCAGCTGGCACACATGCACTCAAGTCTAGTTTGCTGAGTCTGCAGAGTGTGCAGGGATGGAATCTGGACTTTGGATGTGGCAATAATAAATGTTAACTTGCGTGTGTGATAAGACAGTGTTCCTTCTATCGCGCTTCTACTATTAGCTCTTGCACAGAGAAACTAGCTGATTGGCACCCAGTGCAATTAGAGATAAGCTGAAAAGGGGATGTTGTTTTCCTTGGGTTTTTTTTCTTGTGGGTTTTGCTTGCTCTTACCAAATATATGTGAAGGTGCAACACTCCTAGCACAGATTTAACAAATCAGTATTGGTGTGCTGCTTAAGGTCCATAACAGGTTTTTCAACCCTGTGAAGTTAAGTTTGCTGTTTGATGAAAAAGCAAAGCACTCTGAGACTGACTGCAGTGTGCAGCTATCTTTCTGTCAAAATTCTTCAGTCCTCATCTGGAGTGATCTTGTTTCACAATGCAAGTATTTTAACCTTTGAACTTACTTGACCCTGATGATATGGCTGAAAATAAATGACAATTTATTTGCTGCTGTTTAAAATATTTGCTCTGCCCCCTGAGTGTTCAGAGCAAATACTATTGGGTAATACCACTTTGGGGTGACTGGCCATCTGAGCTGTTTTGCGGGATTGGTGGGGTTGATTATAAATTGGGGGAGATAAGAGAAAATGTATTTTGGCTTAGATAGGTTTCTAAATACCACAGCTGTCACTCAAAAAGAGTTATGCAGTCTTTCAAGTTGTCAAAGCTGCTCAGAGGTAAGATGAGTTGATACTACGTAGACATAACACACTTGAGTGAGAGTCACAGTAACAGAAGTGTAAAAGTTGATAGAATAGAACAAAAGATAGAATCTGAGTTGTTTGGGTTTTTTCCCCTACTCACAAGTATATGAAGTATCTTCAGACTCTGATAACTGATCTATAAATTAGCCAATCTTCAGCTGCTCATTTAAAGTGCCAATAACATGGGTCCATTCTAGGCATGAGTCTGTCTTCATTTATAGAATGAGCTTGTATTTCCTCTAGAACCAGCAGATCTGTGAAAGTTAAACACAGCTTGGTTGTGTTATTCTAGAATAGAGAATTCACATGGAGTTTGGCTGCAGTGGTCTTTTAACTACCATTCCTATTTCCACCTGTGCCTACTGGATTTTTGGTTAGTCCCAGTATACATACATTTATTTTTCAAGGTCTGACGCTCTTAATGCTCATTAGAGCCAATTCATCTCTTATAACCATCCTGCCATCCAGTGTTTTAGAGCAATCCTTTGCTACTCAAGAGTACCTGAAGATGTATGGAGCGGTTCTCAAAATCCTTCAATATGTCTTGCCTCTAATGTTTGAAAGCCTTCCTATGCTTAAGACTGTCTAGACTAATGGAGAAGCCATTCAAAAATACAGTATCATTAATGAGCATGGTTCTGGGGAGGAACAGCTGGTCAAAACTCCCGGAGCTTGTTAGGCCTATGAAAGAGGTGATATGAAAAACTTCCTGGAAGTGGAATCAGTGGCTCAACAAATCCCTTCCAATCCTTATGTTAGCAGGGATAACTTGAGCTCTGCTGCCACTGCAATGAGATGCTCTTTATAGTTATGTTAAAAAGCCCAAAGCCCTGGCACACTGGGATGTTACATGATCTCTCTGCCCAGTCAGTTCTAAGGCAGGAGCTTGTTCTGTTTGCAAGCCCAGATTGCCTCGGGCAGGTGATTGCACACCCTGGAAAGAAAGAAAAATTGCATTACTTGGCTAACACAGGCAGGGAGACACCTTGTTTGTCTCCACCAAAGTGTGTGAGGCACTGACTTGTACCATGTTCTCCAAAAGGCCGATAGTGATATGCCATCTCCTCCTAACAAACACTGCTTGTTTGAGTAAGCTCTGAATCTGAAAGACAAGCTCACAAGTTTAAGGTACTTGGTATTTTTAAATCTGAGTATTTAGCTGCATTGATCTGAGTTTTTACTGAGAAGAAACATATGACAGCTGAGAAACTGAGTAATATGATTTCCCCCAGCTTACGTACCATTGAAATATGGGTGCAAATTTTTCTAGTAGTGCTAAAAGGGCTAAAGTTTTATTCTGTGTTGAATGTATATTTCAAGGCATCAGTTTGTCGCAATGGATAGATGCAAATACTCTGAGGTATGTACTAAGCCAGTGTAACTGTTGCCAGAGGTCCCTGAAAAGGGCTGAATTCAAAAGCACCCAGTGCTGGGTGTCTGCAATGTGATGCTGAGGTAGGTCCAGAAATTGATCAGAAGTGAAAAAACAGGTCTTTCTGGGATACAAATGTATTCCTTTAAGCTTGTCCTTCTGCTTAAAGTCTCTCTTCTTAGAGCTAATTGGGGTGGGGGGTAAAGTCACTGTAATGAACTGGCATATTACCAGCATGTTTCTAACCCAGCTATGAATGCCTTAACAGGTACCGTTTGATTCGGATGAACAATAGGATCCCAGACGGCAGAGGTGGGTATCATTGCCATGTCCAGCGGCCCAGGTCTCTTGAGCATGTCCAAAAGTTAGTGGGGGAGCCTGGGGCTGCAGGGAGATGTGGTAGCACCCTGGCTGGGTGAGCATCATCTGCCTTCCGACAGCACTGGAGAGGTGTCCAGGCAGGAGGCGAAGTGAAACCGGCAAGGCTGTCTGCTTGGCTGCAGTAACTTGCGGTGATGGGAGGAAAATCATGAGCTAAAGTAGTTATGATAAGGCGTTGGTCTGAGCTGCGTGGGCCTTGGTACAGCCCCAAACCCCCTTATGTTGCATATGCTGCCTGGGGTGCTATTCACTGAGGATGACTGTGCCCGTGTTCCCAGAAGCTGCCGGTCTTAAGCAGCTTGCCAGCAACTTGCTGACTTCTTGACCCATTCCAGAAGCTCTGTGTCAGCCCAGCCTGAGCTGAATGCAGCTTCTTCAACTTGGATTTTCAATCTACTGCCAGAAAAATAAAAAAAAGAATTTAAAAAAAAAAAACCACAACTGCAAAAGAACAGTGACACAAGACAGCTAGCCTCTTCCTTCTACATGCTTACTCATGAGTTTTTCTACATGCTCGCTTTTGGGGGAAGATATAAAAAAAAAAACAATTTTGTCCCTCATATGGGCCTTGGGCGTCTCCCAGAGTCTCAGTCTGCAAGATACTGAAAATCTGTTTGTCTCCAAGATCAGGTCAACTTCTGCCTGGAAAGACACCTTGAAACGGGGATGTGACAAAAATGAGGGTTTAAATGCCTAGCCACATCAGTTGCTATGCCAAGAATTAAAGACATGATCAGAAAAAATTTTAGTCAACAGACAAATGCATTTACAGAAGTAACCAACTTGGAAATTAGATTAACCCAGAGTGCTGGTGACTCAGTCACTTGTGTTCTGCGTCACCTCGAAGTGAAATACTTCATTGGGTAACCATTCCCTAAGCCCCTGGTGACTCTCAGACTTCAGCCCTGAACCTTCCCTGGGCTTCTGCAGGAGAAAAGCTGGAACAGGTTCTTCAGTGTTAAATTCTTATGGTTTTAAATGAAACAGATGAAACTATTTGCACGTTTTACAACAGTCTCTGGTAATTTCCATTATTTATGAACACATTTCCCTGAAAACTTTCTCTCCAGGGATAGGATGTGAAATACCCACTTAAACAATAGAGAAAAGGGACTTTCTAAACAAAATAATGAAACTGGCAATGTACCAAGTACATCAACACAGCTGAACCAAAAATACATCTGAAGTTCTTTAAAGGTCATTTACTGTGTTGGTAACATATTTTTCAGGCAAAAAAAATTAATCCTTTTTAAAGCACTGAGCTCTTTTTGTTGTAAAACTGTATTCACATACAATTTTCCAAAATAATAATCTCAAGGCATTTTTCCACAATTTGTCTTTTTTCAAGTAATTCTGTTATTTACGACGGAGAATATATTTGGCTTGTTTTCTTATGAGACAATGAAGATAAACTCATTTTTCCATTTGAAAAAGGTGCACAGTTCTCGCAGGCTTCATACAATCCAGACATCTCTACCAGAAGGTATCTCCAGCCAAGCAACAGCAGAAAAAAACGCTAATAAACCGTTAGTGACTGTTTACACAACTGTTACAATCATCCTCCTCTCTGTGACTTCAGTAAAGAGTGAATCTGAAAGTACCAATTCAATGCTGATATTAATTACAGGTCACGTTTAATTCTGGTTTATATTTGGCAAAACTAAATTAAATACAAAATATTAAAGCAGTTTTTTTATTTGCAGCAAAAGTACCATCCCCAAACCGCCCTTTTCCTCAATGAACCAGCTTGGCAGATAACTGTATACCTACTAAAGGATCCAACTATGACAGGGAGCAGTTTTGGTTTCAAAAGCAACCACTTTAAGTTTGTCATTCTACAAAGCTTTTTATGCACGTGTTTACTCATGTGAGCCTTACCACAGGCTTTTACAGAAAAAAAATTATCTTGTTCAGCAGGATACACCTCACTATTAAAAATTATTTTTCTTAAATTGCTAAAGTCATAAGGATGACTCATGTTTTAAAGGCAGATCTCTGCTTAATAATTTTGCTAATTGGGGCCCAAATTGCCTAATGCTTTGCAGGATTGTGCCTATGTTACAGAAAGTGTAAGTCATGTGAGGTTTTTGCCGGATAAGAGTTGGTGTGTTTTGTCTGGCCCGAGTCTGCATTTGCTTAGCACAGTTACGTGCAAGCAGCATTTGTTCAGTTCATGCAGCAAATGAGACAAGACCTGCTTGTGCTTTTTGAGCCATTGTTAAACTTGGAACTTAGAAGTGGAAGGGTGTAACAGCAAATGCATGTGATCAGTCTGAACGCTGCAATACGGAAATGCTGTTTAACACATGGAATAAATAGCCCAGGACGTTCATAAAACTGCTATCAGATGATGAACCTAAAATGAAAGGGATGTGGCAAGCATCAAGTTTGCTAGCTTGGATAACATCTTCAGAAAACAAAAAAATGTTGCAGACCACAAACCCACAAAAGAAGTTTTAACAACAGACCTTGCAAAAAATTTGCCGTGTGTTGCAAAACTGGAAAATCCCAATTCAGTGTTTGATAGAAATATAATCTAATAATGTATACAACTTTGAAGAGAAACAATTAAAAGATTTTGCAAGAAGAGAGAAAGGTCAGAATTTATCACTAAAATGTGAAGTACGAAAACTGAAGTAAACATACTGCTCAGAACACTCACTCTTACTAGAAATAGTGGTACAGAAAACATCCCCAGCCACATCATAGCAGATATATATATATTTTTTTAAAGGAAACATAGAAAGCCCTTGTAAAACTGTGTAGAGATTAAAATAATGAGACAATCTGTATAGATGACTGATTTGTTCAGAAATGGAAGCTGGAAGAAGGGTAAAGTTAGGCTAACTTTTATCAGCCGATGGTGGAGAAGGAGATCCTTCCAACTCTTTTGGCTAGAAAGGGAATGGTTACCTTCTGACCCTGGCTACATACGAGGGAGGCCCAGAACAACGACCTGTGAGTCCATCCGCTGGAGCCTGTGGACTGGATTTGAAATCAGAATTTGGCAGTAAAACAAGAGGTTTTGATGACACAGCAAAACCCAACTTCCTTGGGCTTTTTTTCCAAGCTGTTTCAGACCAAAAAAAAAAAAGTAAAGCAATCAGTAATTCATTAGAGGATGGCAAAACACGAGCGAGAAAGAGAGCGAAGGCATAAAACTTTACGAGCAGAGACGTTTTTGCTGACGGCACAGGTAGAGATACATAAGGTTAAGTACGCTGGTATCAGATAAGGGTGCGCACACAGCCCAAGGTGAGAGGCCGGGCAAGGAGGAGAGCCGGTGTCCGAGTGGCTTCGGAAACACAAACACCGGGAGGGAGCAGATACCGCTGGGCAAGGGCAGGGGCAGGGGCAGGGCAGGACGGGGTGGCTGCTGTGTTCCGTGGCTGGCTACCGCGCTGCTCCCGGAGCGGTGCCGAGGGACGGAGCCCTTCGCAAACTCGCTTCTGCCGAAGCGCGACACCCCCGTGGGTGGGCGAGCGGGTCTCGGGCTCGTTCCCAGCCCCCCCGGCACCGAGGCCAGAAACGCTGCCTCGAGAACCAAAACCTCGAGCTCTCCGGCAGCCGGTCATACCCAGGCAGGCACACGGCG